AACATGCAGTCAATACACATGATAAGAGACTTACCGGAATGTAGCCATCGGGTTGAATCCTCTCATTATCTCTAAAAAAGAAAAATATCACGTTAAGTATGGTAATGTATATGTGCGCGCGTGCGTAGATAATATATTAATTTATATAAGTATAATAAATATATGTCTACGGAATTCATGAATATTTGCCAAAAATTTATGCTTGATTATTGTGAAACATACCGGTTCCTTCGTTGAATCACCGGTGTTTGCGGCGTGCTGTCATGAATGATTACCTGAGTTGCATCTATTTCTTCGCACTCAGAACTGTCTTCGGAAAAGTCTGTAACACATATAAACGCAAACGTATAAGAAAGACAATAATTATAATTCATAAAACAAATTGAGCTAGCCTTTAACTTATGCGCATAAAAATGTAAACTTAACTGAATCATTAAAAAATACATTTTTCTGAACATTTAACTTGGCGCATATTTCTTGCAAAAATTTTAATTGTCTATTGATATCCTTCTCCGTTTCTCCCAACAATATATTGAATTAATTTTCTGTCGACTGCTTTCAAAATCTTGTACAACAGATTTAATCGGATTCACTCTGTTGAGCTGTATTCGATACATCGGATGATCCGATTGATACAATGTAAGCTAGATACGATCACTAAGTGACATTAAATTCATTTCAGACTCACCCTCTTCAACGCGTTGCTGTTTACGAACACGAGAGAGAACAGGACTGTGATACAAGGCAGCTGTATCACCGAGTACATCATCGATGTCAGTGTGCTGGCCAATAAACAACGGTAACGTAGAGGGTCGTTTCCTTGGTGACAATCTTCGGGGTGTCGGTTGCACATTGTCGTAAGGCGAGTCTCGTCCACCATAATTGTCTGGTGGATCAGGTGGATTCTCGACCTGCGGCAGAGATAACGAACTGAAGCACCTTGTGGCGAAGCTTTTTCAAACTTTAAGTCGTATTTCTCATTTTTAGAAAATACAGTTGACGAAATAGTATTGTAACATATAACACGATAATGCAATATTAGTCGTTTTTTAAAATTGTAATAAAAAAAAATAATCAACAGTAATCATTAAAATTCAGTAGTAAATCCTACTTTGATCAAACAGTAAATTATCCATATTTATGAATTTATTTTTGTTATTCTATTTCTATTATATTTCTTTGACATTTTATTTTTAAACATTAAATTTTATTATTTAATTATAAAAACACAATCATAAAGATTCTCATTTCATTTCACACGTATTTCGAAAAGAGTTCACCACTTTAGATAAATTGATTGTGAGAAAGTAGAAGCTACTCAAAAGTTAATCAATAATTTTTATCTTAATCCTCAATAATTATTTGTATACATAACGTAACATTTTATCAACAACTCAATCAGATCTCGTAATCTTATCTCTCTTTTGTTTGGCTTACTGCAATCTCTCACGTTCAGAGATTTATCGAATTGCACAAAGCCCATTATCAGAATGACGTATGGTGCTGAGAGATTACGTGAAATGATGAATGCTGCATGATATGACGATCAGTTTTACCCCTTCTGGACTTGCACGATCCCCCAACGGCTCCTCGGGCGGTGGTGGCGGAAATTCGATAGGAAATCTGGAGAGGCCGTTCTTAACACACGTTTCAGGTTCACGGTTAACGCCGATATCGATCTTCTCGTATGACTCGGAGGAGTCGGAAGTGCTGTTGGAAGTTTCCGCAGGGATTCTGACGACGCCGTCAGGAATGTTCGAGGAGCTGTCCATCCACCATGCTTTCTCTCCGGATTCAATATGTCGGATTTTCTTAAGCGGCTTCGAAGAGTAAAGGTCGTTATCGACCAAGTCAGGTTTGTCGACGCAGTCGATAGATGCTACAGGAGATGTAACAGGGATGACTTCTATGCCCTCCGGGACTTTTTCGGGGTCGTCGCTCATCCACCATGCTCGTTCGCCGGACTGCTGATGCCTGATGCGATTTCGTCGATTGACTGATCGAAAACTGCCTCGACTGGATCCCCGTCTCGAGATTGGAGACGCCGACGAGGATGATTTCTTCGTTTCCTCCGCTGAAATGTCGTCCAACCACCAGACACGCTCTCCCGACTCTTGTCGCCAAACTTTCAGCTTGTACTTTCCTAGCAATAAATAAAATAAGAAAATAAAAAGTTTAAAAGAACTTTTAGAGAATTGGAAATTACTAATAATCTATCAAAAACACTGAAATACTAAATCTTAAAATATATATTTAAGGAAATAATAAAAATTGGTTTATTTTATGTTAACAAAAATGATCAAATTATGTTTATAAATTGTTTAGTCGCACATTTTCATCATATATACATGTGCTTGCAATACATATCTACATAAATGTATGAAAAAACAATTTTCATGTACATTTAAATATTAATATATTGCAAATATTGAAAAACTAATTTACCATCGTCCGGCAAGACCGTGCTGACCGTTGTGTCTTGACTAACATCATTGTTCCATGGACTAACTCTTTCAACCCCGTCAGGAACGTTGTCGGAATTCGAATCCAACCACCATGGTTTCTCTCCAGAAGACTGATGCTGAAGCCTTGAATTATTTCCTCTTATCCCATCGTTTCTTTCGCAATTGTTCGGACTTTTCGACAGGTTTGATCTCGAAGATGACAGCGGTAGTCCCGTCTTATTACTGACTTCATAATTCTCGTCATTGTAATCAACCCAACCACCTGATTTGCTCGTATCACCGGAGTCCTGACTTTTAGTCTTAAAAAAGTTTGTCACTGGTGCTAATGCTCTCATCAGAAAAGATTTGGCCTCTTCCGTCTTCGCGGAGCGATCACTTTTCGACCGCGGACTGGAAGGTGGCCTAGGTGGTTTCTCCGTTGTCATAGATATTTCATCGGCTGATGACGCCAGCACGCTTGTTCTCGACGATCCCGCACTAATCTTACCTCTTGTCTCGTGCGTGGGCGACTTCGACGCTCGTTTTTTTCTTCGTCTCGAATTCGGTCTGTCAGTGCGTTCGTCATCGTCCTCGCTACTGGAAGAATTCGAGGTCGACTGATTACTGCTGTTGGAACTTGACGTCGCAGACGGCCTCTTTGTTCCGCAAGGTGACTTGGATTTCCTCGATTTTTCCCATCTCATTGAACCATTCGAGTCGCTCCTTCCGATCATCGGTCTCGATCCTCCCGATGGAGTTCTCAATCTCGATCGATCGGATTTCATCGAGATCGGAGACCCCGAAGAGGCGGCTTGGGAAACACACTCCGAGATTGTTTCGGAATCTTGAGAGCTGGTTCTCTGACTTTTCTTTCTTCTCGTGTACTTGGAGCGCAACGGATCGCCGTTTTCCATATTCAAGGTCGACTTGCGGAAGTCCTTGTTCACGTACTTCGCTGCCACGATGCACTTCGTCGTGGCGGCGGTCGTAGTATCATTCTTCGGTACAGGTGGTTTGCCGCGCGCGTCCGGCGAACCGCCTTGTCGTAGATTCACTGACGGTGGAACCGAATTGCCGGATGATTTGCCGGACGATGGCGGCGTCGTCGCTTTTATTTTTACACCCTGACTCGTCACGGAACTGGCTGACGATGATTTCGATCTGCCAATTGGCAGGCCTACAGATGATCCGTCTGATGAACTGGTCCGCGTCATTTGACGCGACGTGTTCTTCGTCGACACATTACGGGATTGCGCTGTCGATGCTGAACGACTTTGCGAAGAACTGCTTTTAATGAAAAATTGCGAAAAATATAAGATAATATTTGGCCTTTTGCAAATATTGCGCACTTTTTCTTTACTAGATAGATTTTTTACGCAAATTTAAGCCGATTGTTTTGCTTTAAATTATTTTGATAGTTAAAAACTTTTTATTTTTTAAATTAAATATTTATTAACAAAGTACAACTAAAATATTAAATAATTACTTTATTATAAAAATACAAAGGTTTACGTACCTTGACGTAGAATCTTTTCTTTGCGAAGCATCACGTTTTAAAGATATAACTTCTTCATTTTGGTCCTGGCAATGTCCTTCTACAATACGAAGAGATTCTTCGGCTCTAGAAGAGAAATTGCCATCAGATTTAGGCATGGATCCTCTTCTTTCGCAGTATGCTTCGAATTTCGATGGTGTTGATTCAGTTCTTGAAGAGCATTTTGGAATTTCGCTCTTTGGCGAAGAACATTTCAGCGAAATAGATGATCTCTTCTGATTATATTCGTAACACTTCGACGCAGGACTTTGTCTATTATTCTGCTCCTGACGGCCACTTTTGTTCTCCCGGGAATCCGGTATTGCCAAATTCTCTGTACGGTGAAATGCGAGATCTTGGTTGGAAGTTCTGGTACTGCTAGAATTCTCGTTCATTTCAGTCTTTCGCGCACCGCAGGAACACTGTTCGCTATCTCGTACTTTGGTTTCATTAGATTTTTTATTTTTCTTTTGAATATCTCGATTGCTCGATGATTCTTTCGAATCAATAGATGCCGATGAGTCGTCACCAGTCTTTGTGCAATTTAAACTATCGAATATTTTCTCCTTTTTTCCAGTTTCCTGACTAGAACTCGATTCTTTAACAGCAGATTCATTTCTCGTAGTTGCTGAGGCTTCGCTTGTTCTCGTATACGCAAAACTGTTGAGTTTATCACCGGTGGAATTTGCGTTACTGTATCCTCTGGACGAATACATCGATGAATTTCCAGTCGTACCTGACGAGTATTTATCCAAATACGACCAGGGCACTCTATTGCCACCGCCATATCTCGAGAACCTCGATGTCTCTTTCATTCGATCGCACTGTGTTTCTCCATCTGTAGAATCCGGCAGTTTTCGAGGTCTAATCACTTCTTTTTGATGAACAATATCGATTTCCGCACGTCTGCTTCTGACGTAAGACGAAGACGCGGGAGGCGTTGGTGAAGTGCCTCTGGTCGTCATCTTTAACGTCAGAAATTCGCTGTCAGAAAATCTACTGTTAGTTTCATCTTCTTCCATTTGGCTTGCCGTTTTCGATGGTTCATGATCATTTTTTTCAGATTTTGCATCAAGCTTTAGTTCTTCTTCGTCTTTCTGGTTGGTCAACTTGCTTGAGCTTCGAAATCTATCCGTTGTGGGGTAGCTTTGAGCTGTAGACACTCGTTCGTTGCCGCTTCGCGATGAGAGAAACCGTGAACCAGCTGTCGAGCCAAATCTCGTCGAGATTGTAGCCGAGCTCGATTCGGATGTACCTGAAAAGTCGACCTTCTTTAAAACTAATTGTTTATTTTTGCCAGATGTAAAATACAAACAGTTGTACATTACAAAATTCGCAAATAGTAACATTTGCGAATTATATTATTACATAACCTGAACTCAGCATTATTAAATGTTAAAATTTAAACAATCTCACAAATTTTAACTTAGAAATAAATCTTTACATTTCTGAAGTTACATTTAAAAATAATTACTGTAAAGTTGGTTAACAATAATGAAATTGTATAATTAAAAGATACATTCTTTATATTTTTTTATTTATAATATAAATATAATAAAACACAATCGCACTCACTAGGCGAAGTAGCTGAACGACCATAAGACGGTGCTCTCGAATAGATTCTGTAGGAATTTGTTTTTCCAACACCGACCTCTGGACTGGGCTCCCGCGATGTCCTTCCGGAATTAGGACGCAATCCTCTATAAGGTGGGTGATCCTTCTTCTCGATCCTACCATCGTTGCCATAATTTCGACCAAGGCCGGATCCGGGATATGTGCTGGATCCGTACCGCGTTATTCCTTCAGGCTCTCTGCTCTTCTCCCGCGAAGCCGGTCGGTTATATCTGTCCAACACGGAAGACGGCCTCTCCGATGTTTTGCCAGCTGAGAACGAGTATTTCTCGAGGAGAGATGACCTACTGTCAGATAGCGGGCTTTTCGCCCTCACGTCTTCCGACGACGATCTTCCGGAATGCAACCGACTTTTGTCGATATCTTTGATACCTATGATAATTTAAAAAAAAATCTGCCCATATTCGTCACTTTTCTAAAAGAAATAACACTTATACATGCGTATTCTATACTGCCATTATAATTATATCTATTAATTTAGATATATGTTGATATATTCTTGATAAAATATTGTATTAAATACGATTAAATTACGTGATAATTGTTAGTGAAAAACAAAGTTAAATTGAATAAACAATGTTAATATAATATTTTAAATATATGTAAACGATAATGTATGTTAATGTATTTTAAAAATTTTATAAGTAGTACAGAAACTATCGAAAAAGGTACTACGAGCGAATAAATATCTCACATGAAAATTTGTATGTAGATTTCTCTTCGAGTTTATCTTTTTTGAGAAAAGCGCTTCCAAAACCAGCAAGCACCCGTTCCTTGGCGGCAGCTCGAGCAGAACTCGATCCGACTCCGGAATAGCTGCTTCTACAGCTTGGCAGGTTACTTCCACCGGAAGTATTTCTACCGAATGTGTTAGCAACACTGACGCCGGTTCTACTCCGGTATGCTCCCGTATCGCCCTATAATCGCAGATAGAAAAAATTATAATAAATAATTTCCGATTATTCTAAATTTTAAAATAAGATTATATAGTTATAAATAATCTGTACTTTAATTGTATTTAATTTAATTAAATCATTCATATAATAATTAATTTAAATTGCACCAAAAATATTTTAAATTATAATAAATATAATTATAAATATTAATTTTTATAATAATTCACTCTAAATATAAGATTTATCAGACACTTTTTGTATTTACATTATCGAGAAAGGATCGGACGTTAAGTCAATAAAACACACTTAAGAAATTACTGTAAATGTTCCAAAGTATTAACAATAATGAGGATAATGCATGATAATGCGAATAATACATTATGAAAAAAGCATATTAGATAATTGTTTTCATCAAAATCATTTATGCGATAGAATGCGATAAGAATAAATCTAAATGTGATAAGTGATTATACTTAATTCTCTATTAATTACTGAGATAATTAAGTTATGTAAATCCGCTTTTCTTCTCCATTAATAATTTCTTGTCATTGACTACTTCATTCAGAAATTGAAATGGAAAGAAAATATAAAGAGAAAAACTATTTTTGCGTAGTCTAAAGCGGACTAACGTCATCCGTGCAAAAATGAATAATCGAAATTCATACAATTAACATATGTTTGGCGAAGTGCCTTAATCTAGAAATAGACGCATCAACTTAGTTGGGAGTAATAGCCTTTGCGTTTCTCGCATAAGTGATAACAAGCATAAAAATAGTAAAATAGTGAAATAGTAATTTATATTCTTTGACAGTTCTCGAAAAATAAAGCGAGTTATGAATCGGAATTCTTTGTCATCATTTTGTCATATATTTTTTTATGTGTCATACAATATATATAGTATAGTACTATAAATAGTATGTCAAATAATTATATCTGATTGTAATTTTACTTGAAATTAATTAAAAAATGACGACACTCTGGAGTAACGTATCTACAGAAAAATTTCCGGCCCGTTTTCTGTGTTGAGACACCTCTATAAAAAGTGCCGCTTTTATTATTATGCTAATGGCATTCGGTGTGATAATAGAATTACGACAGTCGCTCCTTAAGACCACCAAAGCAATTCCTTCGAGCGGAAGCACCGTGCAACGTCGGAAACGATAAGTTCTTTCAGCATCATATTCAACCCCATTATCGTGTCTGCGCCGATTTAAATTTCAAAACTACAAAACAATGATATTCAATAACTTGATTCATGTAAAAGAATTTAAAATTATTAAAATAGATCATTATGTCATTCATGGATGCAAAAATTAAAATTTTGTAATAATATAGTAATTTTTAATGAGAGATAAAGTTTTTAAAGTTAGAGTTTAATAAAAATAGTATAACAATATTTCTCGTTGTGTGTGTGTTGTTTTAATCGTAGCATAAACCGTACAATGCGAAACTAGCCGTTCGAGTACATTCTACGATCTATTTTCGTAATTTAACGATCTTTGTTTTCCCCCTCTTACTCTGATTAAACGACTGCCTGGCTGCAGCAAGACTCGATGAAGTTTGACAAACCATCAGCAGTTGTTCCGGAAAAATCGCTGTTCTATTTCAAGTCGATTAAACCGTCGCGTAAATATATTGCGTAAGTACTTTTTGAAATAAAAATATTATTTTTAAAGAGCTTTTAAATTATAAACAAATTATTGCAAATTAAAATTTTTTAATTTATAGTCAAATAAAGAAATTAAATTTTTTTTATAAATACTACATTAATTAAAAATGTAAAAATTTAATAAAATTTGTTTTATTTTCGTTTATCTTTTTGTGTGAATAATTGATGAAGATTTCCAAGCTCGCTAGAAAACCACTTGTCTTTCCATCGAAGAATCCCATAAAAGAAATCTTTAAGAGGAAATAACGAAGAATTCTTTGCGATCCAGCACGTGAGCCAGAAAATGTTGCTTTCGGTAGAGCAATCTTATCTTGAAAATCCTTAATTCTTCTATATCTTTTTTCAAAACGCCGGGAGAAAAAGAAAACGGTCGATCGATCACAGAAGAGACGAAACGGCAACTACGCTACTTTTTTTTGCAATCCAACGATCGTTTCGTGCAGCAAAGTGCACTGGAAGGAAAGGAAGGAAAGAAAAGGAACGAAAGAAAGAAATTGATACAAATAGTTCACATGAACTGTTCTTGAGCTGCTACGATCGATCTATCTGATATCGATCGGTGTTTTATCGATGCACTTGGTCCGCTAATCTGTCAGCAATGGCACTCTCCAACAATGACAAGTCTCCGATACGATTCTCGCTGCAATATATTGTCGCAGCGTTTCATTGAATTGAAAACGCAACTCGACTAGGTGAATCTTTCGATATTATTTTGTCACCCATAAAAATAGCTGTTGGCAATATTTCTTCCACTGTGACGCAGATACTATTAAAGTTTGCTAGATAAATCACTCCGTTTTCTTCGCGAAAGCAATTGACTTCGTTATGCGTGTTTTCAATGCTCTCTTTTATCTGCTTTTAAAAATATATACGAGAGAAGTAGCAATAGTACGCCTCCGTGCAGACTCCCTGTCTTGTCTGTATCGATGAGATCAAAAATAATCGCGAGAAAATATTGCAAACCTGAGAGAAGTTCTATATCTGTTGCGGATCTTATCTTTTTATAGCAATTTACGTAGAACATGATTTCTATGTGTTGCTCTTAAAAAAACTGTTGCCACTTCTATGCAGAACAATGTTATAGAAATATGTATATTCAATGTATCGCCAAGTATCTGCACTTTGTGATTGTATTTTCTCATTACTGCATTTTTAGGAAAATATACGATTTTATCATTTTCCGAAAATTATGATTTAAATATATTTAATAAAATCTTGTCCTAAAAAGAATGTATTTTTGATGCATTTCCATTGATTGACTTTCTATGTAGAAGTTTTAGCTGAAGTATAAAACGCACACGCAGATGGCATTAACGTCGATAACACGTTTGTACAGAGACTTACACAGTGTTTGCACGATGAAAACCGTTCCGCATTGCAAAATCTGCATTTGACCATTGTGCAGAAATATACGTCACGAGATATCTGTCTGCATTCGGCTTGGAAATTTCCGAGTATATGTGAATACGAGAGAGAGGAATGACCGTTCAACCATCGGAAAACCCGGCGCATTTTACTATCGCGTCCATATACGCGCTTGCATATTACGCGAAATATATGAGAGTAACAATGTTACGATGTGTGTTGATATTTACAATTTATTTCTATCCGTTTGCGCGAATATTGATTCTTAAACTTTAGCATCTCGCGCATTATTCCTTTTTCTCTTGATGTAGTCGAGAGCTGTGCGAAAGTATTCCATTTAAGAGTGAAAAAGTTAAAAATTTCTATATTTTTATTTCTTTGGCATAAAACTTAGACTTAAATAATGCTTACGCAAAACTACATCGTGCAAATTATTACATTAAATAGTTGTTCAAATTAGATTGAAGAAATTTATATGTTGAGTATTTAACGCAAAATGCAGGTTATCAAATAAATATGGTGCAATTGTTGCTCCTACTGGACTGTTCAAAAGAAATTTAAGTCGCATAATACCAGATTTTTCAAATATACTCCTCAATCATATGCTGAAGTAAACAGATGGTGTGATTCCGTTTTAGCAAAATTTTTTACGCCAGTTTTATGTCGGTTTTAAAAAACTAAAATATAATGTAAAAGCCGTGAATATCGTAGGCCTTTCTCTCCCGTGACTTAGCACGTTATTGCTTCAAGTGCTTCACTTGTTTGAAAGAAGTATTCAGACTCACGAGCGACTAAACGTTTTATTCGCGATGATGCGGTACATTCTCGATGACACTGATGAGGATGTGGGCGACCGATGCATCGTGATAGCAGCTTGAGGGGAGGCCAGATAATTGAGGAGTGTCAGGCTGATTTAACCTCCGGCGACTCGCGCATTATTATAATTTATGACGCACGACCAACTGTCGTGAGTTGTATAGAACAAAAATGTTGTTTAATTGTATCTCGTAAATAGTCGGGGCATCATTGATTCTTCTGGACCACCCGCTATATCACAGTAAACAGAATAGTTTCATAATAAAGCAGAGAGTGAAGAGAATCTCAGTATTATTACACTAAATGTTGCTTTAATTCTTTCATTAAGAGGAAAGAATTTAAATTTCCTATATTCCCGAATGATTGATAGCAACTCCATGCATATTTCACTTTGCAATTATTATATAAATTATTTAAATGGAAAAAGCTAATTTTACCATAAAGGAAAGTGTAATTTTCATTGGTTATTGTATGAGAAAGCAAATTAGGTTGCCGTCCACGATGGCGGTCTGTTATTTTACAATTCGCACATTGGACACGTGCCAAGATTTTTGGCACGTCACGGTGTGAATCGAGGAAGCGATTTCAGGGAGCTCCGCCACACGTGCAAACACGTGACGCTTTTAGAAATGACATTTTAGAAACAAATTCTGCATGATACTGATAAAAAAAATTCTTTATGTGAAAGTCGTGACTTTTTTTTTAGCAATACTTAAATAATACGCTACATTCTACAACATGCATTACAATTATGCTCCACGTTTCGATATTGACCATGGCACAAGTGGATAAATTCCTATCTTCCGCTTCATAAGTAGGGGAGCAAAGTATGTCTATGTCATATCGATATGTATATAGCAGAATTATAAGTTTAAATCAAACGCAAATTTATTACGTATTATTTCGAGAAAAATTTAGTGAGAAAAAGACATCATTACAACACAAACTGATATTATATTTTTATTAAATGATATAATCCTCTAAAAACATATCTTTTTTTATATACAAGAAAAATATGTCTGACATATCTATTATATAACTTTTATCAACAGACTTGTCATTTTTTTAAAGACCTACGTACAATTTTAATTTATTACATTAAAGTTTTGTAAAAATCTGGTTATCTACACAACAGAATATGTGATGATATTAAAACTTCCCTGAAATCCTA